TACTCAGTGCTAGGGAGACAAAAGAAGTAAAAATCTGACTTCCACACTCACCAGTCCTTCATGTCATCATAGCCAGCACTCACTAGTTTAAACAGCCCTAGGCGCTACACTGGTGGGCAGTGTTTACAGGGGTTTTCCGGATTTTTGTTTTTTGTTTTTTGTTTTTTTTTTTCTTATCAATCGACCATTGCTTCTGCTGAGAGCAGGAGAAGAGCTGCACATAAGCTGCAGCAGGGAACTGAGAGAGCTGCCTCCCAGAGCCCACTGGGTGGCCAGAGAGAGCCAGGCGGTGACAGGCGCGGCCGTACTGTGTTTTCAGGGACTCTGAGCCACGGACATGGTCACCTCCTCTCCAGATAAACAAAGGGCTCCCTGTCAATTGTCTAAAGCTGCTGGGCCATGCACTGTGAGATCACAACTGCTGACCGTAGTTGCTATAAGTAATTGTAATCTTATGTTTTGCAAATGCTTTCTTTTCTATGGATATTTTTATTCCTAGATACTGGAGAAGCATCAGGGGCATGCATTTTCCGTGGCGATCAGGGCTGCTGAAGTGTGAGGCTAGCGTGGAAGAGATTCTGTGGCAAGAAAAAAAAAAAGAAGGCAGTAACCCCTTCCCATATTTTTTCCCACTTTCATACATAAAATTAAACTAAAACTGAGACAATAAATCCAACATTATAAAGCCTGAATTAATATCAGAGCTTAAAATCAGGAGCGCACTTTGACAAAGAGAGATCAGGCAGAATAACCCTCCATGCGTGGGATTCTCGGAGCAGGCATCTTCCTTCTGCTGTCACATCCAGAGGCAGGAGCTGCTAGACGTTCGAGGAAGCCGCAGCTTCACGCCGGCTCTGAAATCAAATTTTTGTTCCAGAGAGTATAACTCTTTAGGGGAAAAAACACAGAATCGTTGGCATTATTTTGATTTTTCTTACTCTCTGTCCTCCCTCTCAGCCCCCTCCTGAGAGACAAGCTGTGAAGAATTCTGGATCTGTTTCAAAGCATCATTTTAAAAAAATCTCCCCCTGTTCCTTTTTTTTTTTTTTTTAAGCCAATTGACTAAATTTCAGGTTTGCTGAAACTTAGAGCAGGTCAGACTCTAGTTACTGTAACAGAGGTATTTTGAACTGTTGTGGTATATCTCTTCTAAAATGGAGAATTCGCTTCATCATAGAATTTTAAATTAGAAAGTAAATTCTAGTTCCTTCTCCATTTTTCCTTTATCTTTGCAATTTTTGTTTTCCTCCTATTGTTTTAACTATTAGCACCAATGAAAATAAAGAATTTTTAGGTTGATATATATGTATATGTATATGCAGTATGTGTATGTGTATGCACACATACATGCACTCACAAACATACATGCATGCACTCACACATACACACATGCACTCACATACATGCATGCACTCACGTACACACATGCACTCACGTACACATACATGCATGCACTCACACATACACACATGCACTCACGTACACATACACACATGCACTCACACTTACACACATGCACTCACGTACACATACACACATGCACTCACACACATACATGCATGCACTCACACACATACACACATGCACTCACACATACACACATGCACTCACACATACATGCATGCACTCACACACATACACACATGCACTCACACATACACAGATGCACTCACGTACACACACACATGCACTCACACACATACATGCATGCACTCACACACATACACACATCCACTCACACATACACACATGCACTCACGTACACATACACACATGCACTCATACACATAAACACATGCACTCATACACATACACACATGCACTCACACACATACACACGTGCACTCACACACGTACACATGTGCACTCACACATACACAGATGCACTCACACACATACACACGTGCACTCACACACGTACACATGTGCACTCACACATACACAGATGCACTCACACACACATGCACTCACACACATACATACATGCACTCACACACATACACACACATATTTTTGATCTCTTAGGGATTTGAACTGGCATAAAATTGAAATTAAGCATTTGTGTGATTTTCTACTGCTCAGGGTAATTTCTAAAAGCAGAGATGTATTAGAGGAAGAAAAAGAGAGGGAAGAGAAGACAGATGGTAGATAAATAGATAATGGATTAATTGATGGATCCCCCAACCAGTTTTGCAGTTAAGCCCTGGGTAGCAGAGATGTACCAACGGACCACATCTTTTCACCTTGACAGTCTGTGTAAATCAGGTAGCCGTGAGGGATTCTCTGTCTGAATCCTGTGCTGGCTGGAGGCTGGACTGCGGTCCGGGAGGCTGGACTCCCAGGGGTTGCCAGGTAGTCAGGCCACGCTGAGTTACCGTGTCTCTCTNCCTTCTGCTGTCACATCCAGAGGCAGGAGCTGCTAGACGTTCGAGGAAGCCGCAGCTTCACTCCGGCTCTGAAATCAAATTTTTGCTCCAGAGAGTATAACTCTTTAGGGGAAAAAACACAGAATCGTTGGCATTATTTTGATTTTTCTTACTCTCTGTCCTCTCTCTCAGGCCCCTCCTGAGAGACAAGCTGTGAAGAATTCTGGATCTGTTTCAAAGCATCATTTTAAAAAAAATCTCACCCTGTACCTTTTTTTTTTTTTTAAAGCCAATTGACTAAATTTAAGGTTTGCTGAAACTTAGAGCAGGTCAGACTCTAGTTACTGTAACAGAGGTATTTTGAACTGTTGTGGTATATCTCTTATAAAATGGAGAATTCGCTTCATCATAGAATTTTAAATTAGAAAGTAAATTCTAGTTCCTTCTCCATTTTTCCTTTATCTTTGCAATTTTTGTTTTCCTCCTATTGTTTTAACTATTAGCATCAATGAAAATAAGGAATTTTTAGGTTGATATATATGTATATGTATATACATTATGTGTATGTGTATGCACACATACATGCACTCACAAACATACATGCATGCACTCACACATACACACATGCACTCACACACATACATGCATGCACTCACGTACACACATGCACTCACGTACACATACATGCATGCACTGACACATACACACATGCACTCACACATACACAGATGCACTCACGTACACATACACACATGCACTCACACACACATGCACTCACACACATACATGCATGCACTCACACACATACACACTTGCACTCACACACATACACACATGCACTCACACACGTACACATGTGCACTCACATACACAGATGCACTCACACACACATGCACTCACACATACACACATGCACTCACACATACACACATGCACTCACGTACACATACACACATGCACTCACACATACACAGATGCACTCACGTACACACACACACATGCACTCACACACATACATGCATGCACTCACACACATACACACATGCACTCACACATACACAGATGCACTCACGTACACATACACACATGCACTCATACACATACACACATGCACTCACACACATACACACATGCACTCACACACGTACACATGTGCACTCACACATACACAGATGCACTCACACACACATGCACTCACACACATACATACATGCACTCACACACATACACACACATATTTTTGATCTCTTAGGGATTTGAACTGGCATAAAATTGAAATTAAGCATTTGTGTGATTTTCTCCTGCTCACGGTAATTTCTAAAAGCAGAGATGTATTAGAGGAAGAAAAAGAGAGTGAAGAGAAGACAGATGGTAGATAAATAGATAATGGATTAATTGATGGATCCCCCAACCAGTTTTGCAGTTAAGCCCTGGATAGCAGAGACGTACCAACGGACCACGTCTTTTCACCTTGACAGTCTGTGTAAATCAGGTAGCCGTGAGGGATTCTCTGTCTGAATCCTGTGCTGGCTGGAGGCTGGACTCCCAGGGGTTGCCAGGTAGTCAGGCCACGCTGAGTTACCGTGTCTCTCTGCCGACAGAACCCTGACATGGAGGTTGACGAGAACGGGACCCTGGACCTCAGCATGAACAAGCAGAGGCCGCGAGACAGCTGCTGCCCCGTGTTGACCCCTCTGGAGCCCATGTCCCCCCAGCAGCAGGCGGTGATGAACAGCCGGTGTTTCCAGCTGAGTGAGGGGGATTGCTGGGACTTGCCAGTAGACTACACCAAAATGAAGCCCCGGAGAATAGACGAGGATGACTCCAAAGAGATCACTGTACGTCCGTTTCACTGAAACCCACCTGTGCTGACTTCAGCTGAAAGAAAATGTCATTTCTACCTCAAGAGAAAGTATATTTTCTCTCTGAATATGACCTTTAGCTGACTAGGACTTAGGAAGCATTTTTTGTTGACCTAGAAGAGATATGTGACTGACATTGATCGGAGTACAACAAACTATTGCCTCTTTTAAATGGTGGATTTTATTTTCTAACTAGTATGTTTTGTTACAAATGATTCCTCTAAGAAAATGTATGAACAGCATACCAGTTCATTTTTCTGGGTGATCTTTTGACGCAATACAACAAATTTTCTTTGTAGGTAGAGAGTTATAATGAAAGCCTTAAATACATAAATGGTTAAGTAATGATGTGCTGTTAATTAGCTAGCTCTTTGAAACTAAGGGCAGGGTCTCTTCTCTAAAAAGAGTACTTACGAGAATATATACCAGTCTTTAATAAATTATTTTAGTACCATCAACTAAATCTTTGTTTGCGACAGTATTACCAAAACACCTATATCAAGAACGTACTTTTAAAGTAGTTACAATTTTCAAATTCCAGTTACTAAAATTTATTTAATACACCTTTGCTTAAGAAAATAAATCAAGAATTTTTTTTCTTTATTGGACTGACTTTTTCTTCAGTGTTTAGTTCTAAAACATTGTGACATCTTCTTTATTTGCTGCAAATTAAAATG